GGGGAGAAACCTGATGAAGTTCAACAAGGGCAAGTGTAGAGTTTTGCATTTGGGGAAGAGAAAGGCCATGTACCAGTACAGGTTGGGGGCTGAACTGCTGGAGAGTAGTGTAGGTGAAAGAGACCTGGGGGTCCTGGTAGACAGGAGGATGACCATGAGCCAGCATTGTGCCCTTGTGGCTAGGAAGGCCAGTGGCATTGTGGGGTGTGTTAGAAAGGGTGTGGTTAGTAGGTCAAGAGAGGTTCTCCTTCCCCTCTATTCTGCATTGGTGAGGTCGCATCTGGAGTATTGTGTTCAGTTCTGGGCCTCTCAGTTCAAGAAGGACAGGGAACTGCTTGAAAGAGTCCAGTACAGAGCCACAAAGATGATGAAGGGAGTGGAACATCTCCCTTATGAGGAAAGGCTGAGGGAGCTGGGTCTCTTTAGCTTGGAGAAAAGGAGACTGAGGGGTGACCTCATCAATGTTTATAAATATGTAAGGGGTGAGTGTCAGGGAGATGGAGTTAGGCTTTTCTCAGTGATGACCAGTGATAGGACAAGGGGTAATGGGTGCAAATTGGAGCATAGGAGGTTCAAGGTGAATATTCTAAAAATTTTTTTTCCTGTGAGAGTGACAGAGCCCTGGAACAGGCTGCCCAGGGAGGTTGTGGAGTCTCCTTCACTGGAGACATTCAAAACCCACCTGGATGCGTTTCTGTGTGATGTACTCTAGGGACCCTGCTCTGGCAGGGGGGTTGGACTAGATGATCTTTCGAGGTCCCTTCCAACCCCTAGGATTCTGTGATTCTATTTACACACAGAAAAAGGATATCAGAACACATCATGGGGATGCTGCAGAAAAGGGCAGAGACAGACATAATTCCCACCACAGACCATTAATTACAGCACTTGGCTCAAGACAGGCAGAACAACCACCCCCTTAGTGCAATTAACATCCCCAAAGCCAGGCAGGTTACATGAATTCACTCCTTGCATGAGGACCCTCAGGACAGAGTCATGTAAAGGAACATCTCCCTACTCAGAGGGACAATGGCATCATCTCCAACAGCTTGTGAACACAACTGCTTCACAGCATAGAGCAAGCAGGAGACATTGCTGGAGACATTACTTCTTTTGCTAGAGAACTGCCTGACTTAAAGTTGATGAGTGCTAGCCCAGAAATAAGCAACTCTTCTCCAAAATTCATGCATGTATAGACACTGGCTGACATTTCCAATATGATCAGTGTTTGCATTATCTCAACTTTAAAAACACTGCAGGCTCTCAACTTTAAGTTGCCTCAGATCAAGCTCTCAAAATGCACCCATCACTGTGGGATCACGATGACAGATGAAACCTAACCACAAACGCAGGGGAAGCAGGACTCCCACCAGGACAGCTGGTGAGGAGCACAGTCTGCTTCAAACATCTGGGAACCTGCAACCTCCTGTTGCCAGTAAGCAGTTGGGAACTGGAGCATAAGCTGAATCTGCAGTCCCAGTTGCTTGTGAGCACAAGGGCATCAGCATTCTTCAATCCAAATTAACTCTCTTGGTTTTAGGAGTTCCAAGGGGGACAATGAAAGAGAGTGTTGACTTAGGACTGCTGTTTTGAGTTGTTTTCTAATCCTTTCTGAAAAAAAAACATGTTGAAGGTGGTTGGGAGAGGGAGTGTGCAAGAAGGGATAAAGTTCTGGTGATGTCAGCTCCTATCACCATGGAAACTGAACATTTTTAGTGACAATAGAGTCTTCCTCCTTGAGCTGCTGGGTTGCGTGGGGAGCAGGGGCAGGCAGGGCAGGGGCACATAAGGGAATCCAGCTAACTAAAACTATGGCTTCTGGCTTCCCAAGGAAGTGAGGAGAAAACTACAAATGAATGCATGAATATATGGTTTATGTAACCACAATACACAGTCTGGGGCAACAGCAGCAAATCGTCATTGTGCTGCCAGCCAGATGGAGGTATCTCAGTTGCCCTGGAACACCTGACAGAGAGGTCCCTTTCCTGCACTTTGCTTTTCCATCCTATGGTTGTTTCTTCCAACTTTTGCTGCCTTGTTGGTGTTTAGGAAGGGAGAAGGGAGAATAAAGGGGCTGGGAAGTACAGTCCTTATCCTTGTAACTGAGTGAAACTGCACTTATTGTAGGCAGTGCATTACTTCCCAACATTTTCTTGAGAGCCAAATTTATGACCCGTGCAGGAATGGAAGTCCAGGACTGTGAAAAGGAGAAAGCCCTTAGAGAAAACTGATTAGCCTCTGACCAGGATCTAATTCACTGGCATGGATAAAACATGCAAGACCTAATGCAGGGTGTCTTTTCTAAGTCAGAATGTTAAGGCAGCATCTGGACCCAGAGTAAGCTGAAGCCATGATCAAGGTGTGGGACCAAGCAAGATAAAGCTTGAGGCTTAAATTTGAGGTTAAATAAAAGCCTTCACTCTGTGTGTAAGGGCAAGTTTGAGCCTTGAATTTGATTTAAACAGTGCAGACAATTTTAATGAAATTCAAAGAATAATGAATTAATAACCACAAGCTTTTATAACTTGAAATACATTATATAGTCATTAGTTCTATATAACAAAATGGAAAAATCTTTCTTTAGCAGAAGTCTTTTGAGATCAGATATTCTAATGAGATTACTATCATTTCAGCCTGACACCTCATGAGAACAATTGTATAGAAATCATGAAACAAATTTCTTTCAGTTTTAGACCTGAAATGAAAAATCCTCCACACTGATTATTTTATATCTTAGGGGTTGATTCTGTCTCCTTGGCATTGAAAGGAGTTCAGATATGAGCTTTTTTCCTGGTACTGCTATCAGATGCACAAAAGACTCTCTTTCCTCAAATTTGTGCCAGCAATGGCGACAGAGGGAAATGGGCAGCTCAGAGAGGTTCCTGCTTTTCCCTGTGGGCTCTCCCATTGTGAGTGAGGGGGGATTGAGAAGGGGCAGGGCTTTTTGCAGGTACAATTAGGGTGAGGAGATGCTTTGCAAGGAACCACTTCTCCCTTTAGCTGGGCTAAGGCTCTGTGCTGGTGTGGAGGGAGAGCAGGGCACATTCAGCAGACCCTGAACTGGGTGTCAAGGAGTTCAACAACATCTGCCCACAGGCAGCATGGGACATGAGGAAGAAATTCTTCCCCCTGGGGGTGGAGAGACACTGGCCTAGTGGCTGCCCCTTCCCTGGAAGTGTTCAGCACTACGTTGGATGGGGTTTGGAGGAACCTGATCCTATGGGGGGTGTCCCTACCCACAGCAGGAGGGCTGGCACGAGATGATCTTTAAGGTCCCTTCTCACCCAAACCAGTCTGTGACTCTGTGGGTTCACTTCCTTCTCATTCAGGTAGCACAAATTTCACTTTTTTTCCTGCACAGAGTCTCATTTAGCATCTCCCCACTGATTTCTTCATCTCTCCAAATAGCACCACTCACATACCATGCCTGCAGAAACACCAGATAGAGCAAGATCCTCAGTTCCTGAGCCTTTTACCTCACACACCAGTGATCCCATGCCCACATGCAGCACAGCCTTCCTCCCAGCACACCACAGCACATCCCCTGTATGGGGAAGCATCATGGACTCCAATGTCCCTCCTTTCAAACTCCCCTGTTGATCCCTTTCCCCCTGAAAGGCTGCTATGGTGGGGTGTCACTTTCCCTGCCTCCAGTTATCAGTCACCAGCAATTTTGCCACCAGGAGCTTGGGTTAGAACATAAAACAGTCTGGCTTTTCTCACCACATGTCAGGTGTCTTAGTCTTTCCTGATGAACTCACAGACCCCGTGCCAGGCCATTTTAAATCAGATGCTAATTACAGCATGTTCAGCCACAGGAGAGGTCTTCCCATCTCATGTATGTTGCCTTACTTCAGAAAAAGCTACAGCTTTCATCTGCCTGCCCTCCTTTCATGCACAAGCTGGCTGAGAGTCAGCCTTCAAACTTTTACAACTGAAACAAGTTTGAAAAAATTCTGCTGCCTGCAGAAGCAAACAATTATATGGCCCTCCAAAGGGAACAACTTTCAAGTCTTGCTGGAGAAGAACTGTGTCAAAAGCAAATATACAGACAGTGCTGCTCCACACCACAGGGGAGAACTCTGCAAAGCAAGCTCAAACTCACTGCTGGCTCAGTCAGTAATGCAGTTCCAGGTGACAGAGAATGCGGGTAATTCCTTGCCGGGAGGAGGAAGAGGAAAGTTGGGATTTCTTACCTTTTGTGTTGTTTTTGTCTGTTTGTTTTTTGTTGGGTTTTTTGTTTGTTTTTTTGGTACTATACCACAAGGCAATCTAATTCAAAATAGCCAAATTCAAAACACACACACACACACACACACACTGGTATTAGAGATTGGCATTTTTTTGTGATTACAGAATCATAGAATGTATTGGGTTGAAAAGGACCTATAAAAGGTCATCTAGTCCAGCTCCCCTACAATAAGCAAGGATATCTCCAACTAGAACAGATTGCTTAGAGCCCCATCAAGCCTGACCTTGATTCAATAGGCAAATCCAGGTAGGCTTTCTACTTCATACATGCAGAGGGGAAAATCAGAACTTCACCATAGCAACTTTGCTGTAAAAAACACTCAAATGTCAACTCATCCCAATACTGCTGTGGGTAAGGCCAGTGCAATGCAAAGACAAAAAGCCCAGAGTAACAAAAAATTACATTCCTACCTTTGAAACACTGCTGCTGGAAACAGAGAAGCAAGCTTGGTTCTCTTAAAGGTTACACATTTCTTCCACTCAGACATTTTAAAAAAAAAAAAAAGTTTCTAGGCTAGCTGGTAGAAATCAACACCCTCTGTTGAAGTTGTGTGAGATAGGTGGCTGCACATCAGCCTGGGAACTAAGCTACCTTGTCTCCAGTTTCTTCCATAGACTGATAAACCCAACACGTCAGTTCAGCAGATGTACCAGAGCAGCACCAGAGTGGAAACTTTTCTCTCGGGTACATCCTTTCTGTTCCATGCAAGACTTTAGCAAACACAGAACAAATAAAACTACCAACCTACCCAGCCATGACAATGAAGAAATCCAGCCGGTTCCAAGTATCTCCAAGGTAACATTTCTTGCCAAAGATGCCCAAGGCCACCATCTTTAAGACCATTTCCATGGCAAAGAAGATGAAGATGAAATCATCAAATACCTGCCAAACAGAATATGCCTGATAAGCATTCTCAGCCTTGGACTTCAAAACATAGAATGTGAGATAAATACAAATTTCCATACATCTGAAAATTAATTAGAGGCAGGCTGGTAAAGCTTCTTCCATGCAGCCCCAGCATCACAGCTTCCTGCTGGTCAAGTAAGCAAGGAACATTCCCCCCGCTCCCTCCTATGGGTGAAACAACTAATGTAGATTCAGACTTCTCACATAGACTTGAAAGGAGGTGTTGGCTCAGCATCAGCAGGTCCAAATTTGTCTAGGGAAGCACCATCCTTCCAAGGTCTCCCAGCAGGGATTCCTCCTCACCCTGATGCAAATGCCTCAGCTAAGGACATACTGCAGCTTCAAGCACAGCTTGGGCAGCACATACCAATCACAGATGGAGGCTTCAGACATCTGAACATCACAGCCTCAGCTATGTTGTAGATAAACACCTTTGCATGTCACCTTCTCTCTGGGGAAGCAGCAAGCACAGCTAGTGCATTCATAGACTGGATGCACCCGTGGCCCTTCTTGGCATACCTTTTGTTTCTTCTTCCTTTGGGCATCCTGAATGCCACATTACCTGTGGACTCAGTAGTACCCTTGCTCCTCAACAAGAGTAGGAAATGCATTGGGAGCTGCTATTCTCTTCAGCCTGGATACCATAACCTTATTTATTTCTTATAACCTTAGTTATTTTTCCCTGGATTACCTCTGAGCAGTGTATCCTGTAGCTGTTTATGTCAGGAAAACCCTGCTTATGCACAGGACCAGGATGGTTAGCAATTGTTCCATATGATATGGTCACAGGCAGACTTCATTCATTGTCTCTTTCTCACACCTCTCCCCTTCTCAGAGTGAGCTCTTGCCATTTTACAACAGGATAGCTTACTGCCAGGGACATTCTTGCCAACCTGTCTGGGAAGGTGTTGCCCACACGCTGAAGGAAAGCATGTGTGAAAATTTGTGACTTGGACTGAGGCACCATCACACCGAGAAGGAAGTCTGCTTACCTGCAAGATTTTACACCTGTCAGAAAGGCAGTCCATATCCTCACATGGCTGGTACATCCCCAGGGTGACACAGTTTAACAAAATCACCATCATGCTGACACACTCAAACCAGGTGGAAAAGAGTCAAGAAAAACTTCTGTAAAAGCATCATGGCTGAGATAAGCTTGCTCTGGGCTTGGGCTGACAAAATAGGAAGATTAAGGGAAGTAACAGCTAGTAGGCAAATTTATCATATTCTTACATTTTTTTTCCCCCAGTTCCTCATTACACCACTCCTTGACTAAGCCAAAAGTCTAAAAAATGGGAAAGTAGAGGCAGCACAAAGGCCTAAGGTTTATACAAGCCACAGTTAAACACATGCTCTGTCCTCTCCTGTTGGTTTACTCAACCTTCCAAATACATGGAAAGACTGTCCATGGTGCCATATACTCAAATGCAGCAGATATCTCTAAAATCTAGGGATGGACAGCTGACTCCATGTGTGTCTAGTGATTATTGCCCTTCTGGGAAGTGGTTACAACACAAAGCTAGAAGTGTCCCTTTTGCCTTCTGAGAGGAACCTGGAGATAAAGCTGCCATATTGGAACAGGTCAATAGTCCAACTAATCTGCTATTCTGCTTCCAGCAGTGACCCATGCTGGATAAAACTCCACAATGTGCCTAATTAAGTTATTCAGTAACTGTGGGGGGAAACTGTGTTTCTGACCCCAGCTGGTGATGTGTTTGTGCCCTAAAGCACAAGGATTGATAGTCCTTATAATTGTTTTCTCAGCTACACTGGTGTCCCTGCAGATGCTTTGCTTATTCATCTGAATCCTTTGTTGATAATCTTACTAAAATATGTGCTTCGATAATAGTTGGCAGCCGTGAGCTACACTGGCTAATTATACTTTACATTAAAAATTGTTTCCTCCTATTTCTTTTTAATTTGTTGCCTTTTAATGTCATCAAGTGCTACTTCATTTACATATTACAGAAGAGGGTAACAATGCTGTATTTGTGTGACTTTCTCTGTGCTCTCCACACCCTCTACCTGCCTCCTTCTCACCATCTCTTTCCTTCTGAAGGAATCTTAAGACCTGATACACACTTATCCAAGCACTCATATACAGTATTTTGGCTCTAAAAGCAGGCATGTTTCTGTGATATCTTTCCAGTTTTTGTATTGCAAAACAGTGATGTAGATATAATGAGAATGGACCTCCAACCTCTGGTAGAACACCAGCCTTCTTTGGTATTTTAATACACCCCACATAAAAATATCTGCTCAGTTTCTATTTTCAGACAATTTTATTATTATTTTTTTTAATAACAGATCCAACAAATTATCCATTTAAAGTACAACCCACTGAGTGCACCCCTTTTTAAGTCCCTGAAGAACTTAATCCAAAATGGTGGCCTGTACCTCTGGTCACTTCTCAAAGACACTTGTCACCTCTGGTTTGCTCTGAGCAACACTTCTGTGCTCATTCTCTGACAGTGATTCATGACTAACCTGCACAATCTGATCTAGAAGATTATTAATTCCTTCTCTTCTCCCCCACCTGGTTTTCAGTGAGCTGCCTTCAGCTGCAAAATCAAACAAGAGCAGGGCATCAGCTCTACTGTGTCAATCATGCTATGAGGTGATTTCAAGAATGTGTTATCACTATCCCTCAGAAAGGAAATCCAAAGTACAAAGCAGATGGAGCCCAACCTCAACGTAACCTTCAAAACCCGAAGCCTTTTTTGAGAGGAATACATCAAAAGGGCATGAGTAAAATGTTTGCCCTCAGAGGTCTACACAGCACCACTTCAACTTTACACCTTTCTCTCTCTTACATGTTTCTTTAACAGCCTGGTCCGAAGCCCAGGAAAGCAACTGGAGAGGTTTCCACTAGCTCCCACAGGCTTTTCAGGTAAGACTGCCATTCTCTTCCAGACTTCAAAATCTGTTCAGCATCATCTTTGACAGAACTACAGAACAGTTGAGGTTGGCAGAGGCCTCTGGAGCTCATCTTGTCCAACCCCTCTCTGCTCAAATTAGCATCAGCTACAGCAGATTGCTCAGTGCTGCAGCCAGGTGAGTTTTGAGTACCTTCAAGGATTAAGGCACCAGAACCTCTCAGGGCAACCTGCTGCAGTGTTTGGCTATCTAAACACCGAACAGGTGTTTCCTTACATTTAAATGGGATATCCCATGTTTCAGGCTGTTTCTATTGCCTATGCCCTGTCACTGGGCACTACTGAGCAAGTCTGTCGCCTTTCTTCCTCCCATCAAATATTTATACACATGGAGTAGATCCCCCTGAGCCTTCTCTTCCCCAGGCTGAGCACTTCCAGCTCTCTCAGCTTCTCCATTTTGCAGCAGGTGCTTTGACAGCTACTGGAAAGGCAGCACCAGTGAAACCCTGACAGAGGCAAGAGTGGAGAATGACAGAACAGTCTTTGAGGAACCAAGAGAGTTTCAATGTGGGCTGAGCCAAAGGCTGCAAAAGTCCTTCTCCCTGGCCATAAGGCAAACAGGAGAGGTACAGACTGAATCAGTGCTTAGAATAGCCCTGGATGAAATTAATACATAAAAATGGAAAGCAGAAATTGGTTTAAAAGCCTTATTTTTTTTTTTTGTTATTATTATTCTTCAGCAAGCACACAGAAAACATAGCATGAGCTGAGAGACACAGAGGGCAGAGAGTACTCTCCTTCTGCAGCCAAACTCAGGCAAGGAGGCCCAAAGTCAGGGGTTTTTTTCATACAGATCTACACTTTTGTGCACGTGCTTCAGCAGCAGCAGTAGCAGTGTGTGGGTGTTCAGGATGCTCCCTTTGCTCCCCTTGCAGTACCCCCTTCCCAGGGCACACAGACCAGGGCTGGGTGACTTTGGGCAGCTGGTGAGACCTCAAGGCACAAAACGTAGCCAACTGTGATGTACACTCCCAAAAACATTGCAATTTGGGCCAGATGTACGAGGCCCTCATCATCTTGCTCAAAAAGCTGTGGCTGGCTGCACTCAATTTCTCCTCCCCTGCTTTTTGGATACCAGCTCTCTGAAAGTTTGCCAGCACTGCCAAGGCTTCTCGAGGATACTGCTGAATCACTGGCTGCTCCCAGGCTATTAAAGTGACATTAGGAAAAGCTGCTGCCCCACGGTTTTCTTTTCAGAGCGGGCAGGGGCTCTGAAAAGGCACATCCAACCTGCAGGGAAGAGGAAGAAAGTGCGAGGAGGGAAACGGAACATCCCCTGCCCCGAGCCGGGAGGGGTTGCTCCCTGCTTGGGTCGGTGGAGGGGGTAATTAGAAGTACCTGCTGCTTTCAATGTGTCACCGCTGTCAACCACGGTGACTGCCTCTGTCACCACGGCAACAGCCTGCAGCCAGGTTTATCGTCTTTCTTTCTTTCAGCGATGATTCCCCTTCCCTGCATCCTTCACCCCCTCCTTTTCCCTGTGCCTGAGCCTGTAATTAATTTCAGCTGCTGACAAAGCCAGTCTTCACAATCTGCATCAGTCAGTCAGAAGTTTCATTGTTAATTAACTTCGTTCAAAGTTCAAAACTCCTAATTACAAGCGAACCTGTGCACATTCTCTCTTCCCCCATCCCATCACATCTTTGCCACTGCTCTCCCTTCCCTGCTCCTGACACCTTTCCTAGCAAGGTCTGGGACCTCCAACAGGTTTTGGAAACTAAAAGGAGGCCCAGGCATTTCTGCCCATAGTTAGCTCATCTCGCTCGGCCACTACAAGGTGCTCCAGAGGAAGGTATCAGAAAACCTGCATTAATATACTATGTACTAACTCGCCCTTAGAAGGAGGTTTTTTTCCCTGATGATGACAGTTCACAGTTGATTCAAGCCCTTAAAGATCAAGGAGTCGTGGTGCTCATTTGAAAAAGGAAAAACAGCAAAGGAGAAAGGTTTCCTGCTTCCTCTTTGCAGAAGTCTTGTTAAGATCTTGGCTTCAGCACTGACTTGTGGCATCAAGTTCCATATCTAGGTTAATTATATTTTGCCTAAAACACGTTTCATAGAACCATGGAATGGTTTGGGTTGGAAGGGACCTTAAAGTTACTCTAGTTCCAACCCTCCTGCATAGGCAGGGACACCTCCCACTGGATCAGGTTGCTCCAGGTTGGCCTGGAACACTTCCAGTGAGGAGGTATCCACAACTTCCCTGGGCAACAATGTTCCAGTGTCTCACTACCCTCACAGTGAATAATTTCTTCCTACTATCTAACCTAAGCCTACCTTTCTTGTATTGGTTCTTCACCTGGTGATTTGCTAACGGGTGCCATCCTTGTTCCACCACACCCCAAGCAGGGCCCATCCAGCTGCTGGCCAGAGGCAGACACCATATATCCATTGTTCCCCCATCATGTTTTCCAATGGACAGGGCAAGTATGAGATGGAGAGACACTCAAGGGGAACATGCATCACCAGCACACACCAAGAAAGACTCCTCATCCACTCCAAACCATATGGGATGGAGTCAGTGCTGAAAGCCACAAGTTACGGGAGAGTTAAGGAGATGTGCTGGCATTTCTGGGAGCTGAATGTGTTGCAGTCATTCTTAATGGATATCCATAATGTGAGGTTATGTTAGAAACAAGGGATGGGCTACAGGCAAAGCTTTTGAGCTTGATTCCTGAATGACAAATAGCAGAAGCTATTATATGTATTATATATATATATGCTGTATTGGAGCTGTAAATGCTTGCATGTGAGAATCTAGCTACCTCTTAACATTCTTGGGATCAGCCTCAACCTTGGCTTTTTATCACTGACAAAAATACCAAAAATAAATGAAGCAATACTTTGGGGTCCCCTCTTCTCTATTCCCTTCCTCCTTCGCCATCAGCCAGAGTATAAGAGTGCACCAGGCACAAAGAGCTCCCAACAGGACAGAAAATAAGTAAGTTTTACAAGCATGACAATCCTTCAGTCTTTCCTGTCACTAACTCTTAGTCACTCCCAGGGTACGCCTCGTGCCACTTCAGGTCTTGAATATCTCAGGCTTGTTTAAGCTGCAGTAGAAATACTTTGGCTACAAAGCACTTAGAGCAAGAGGAAAAAAGCCAGCCCTGTGGTGAGGCTGGTCACAGTAGCATCTGTTCCTGCCCCAAAAACAGAGAGAAGAAC